GATAACCTTAAAATCTGTTTTCCAGGGCGTACAATGAATGAGAGTTCTGTATCTAGTATTTACAAGTATGACTTGAGTAATTCTAAAACTGGATGGCAAAGAGTGAGATGGAAAAGTGGTAAAGCTGCCACTCACAGTGTTATGGGACATTCAACTGTTTATGATAATGACACCCGGTCACTTATTGTGTTTGGTGGATTTCAGTTAGTGCATGGAAGGTACATCTCACCTCCTCTSTSAATTTTATTTTTAKYTTTCCTTTCCTCATTTAATCATCCCCACCTATTTTTTCTTCAACTTTTTCTGTTCCCTTCCTTTCGCACTGCTAATTCCCATTCCTTTTTATTAGTACTTCGCTCTCCTACCATTTCAATAAAGACTACAACTGTCATCCTCTTCATTTAGTAGATTATATCCTTTCTAAATCTATACACTAAATTGACTCAATCTGAAATTGTTTCAAATCTTCAATTTTAGGTTAAGCAACAGGCTGAATAAACTCCATGCATTCCATGTTGACTTGCTGGTTTGGTCTCAATGGGATTTAAAAGACAATGTCCCCAAACCAAGAGCCTTTCATTCTGCTTCAATTGTTGSTGACTACATGATTTTATTTGGTATGTATCTGTGGCATGTCTAWAAAAGATTTGATAGCATGTCTTTCAATATTAAATTTTATAGATTTGTAAAATTTAGATTTGATCGAATTCAGTCACTATAGATCATTCTGTAGCAGAATATTTGAAATGAAAGGTCTAATGAAGTGTGGTTGTATTGTCTTTTAGGTGGAACAGTCCAYGAACATCACAAGGATGAAAGCTGTTATGACAATGAGTTTCATTTCTTTCATCTCAAGTGCCAYAAGTGGATTTCATTGTCTGATTTGGCTCAACTTTCACCTGCACCMGCTTTGTCCAAGAAACCCAAACGAGGCCGCTACTCTCATGTTGCTATTGCTAAAGGCTCCACACTGTTRATATTTGGAGGCTACAGYGGTGAGCCRCTTGGGGATATGTATGCTTATAAAGTACCAATCAGTGTTTTTAACAGTGCAGTTGACAAATCTGGAGATCAWTGTRATCAGTACAAAACAGATAAATCCTGCTTAACTGAYCCCAGCTGTGGCTGGTGTAGCAACARTAAGTGCTATGCATTGCAGGATTCCAGCAAGTGCTCATCAACTTGGAATACACCTTCTTGTCCTGGACTTTGTGGTCTTAATRCCATGTGTATGTCTTGCCTCTCCTCGGGCTCAAATCATCTACCTAATAAATGCGGGTGGTGTGTGCAGGACAGCCGTTGCTACTCTCTTTCATCACCTCAAGGCGCTTGTGAAAGTCCAAATCCACAGAATTCAAAGAGAATCAGGGGCTGGTGGGGAACACAAGGGCAGTTTTTATCTGGTAGTGTCGACAAGTGTCAAGAGAAAAATTACCCTCCTGGACTTATAGAAATCACAAGAATGTTTCCTGAAGTTGCAAATTATCCTGATGAAATAAGCCAAGGACTCACAACTGAGACAAAGATTCTTGATTCAAATTTTAAGAAAGTTAAGACATCTATTGGCTTTGTGTATCCATTTAAATTTTCATCATCACCGTATGACCCTTACCGAAATTTTCAAATCTATATGGATAAATCCAGTACCCAAACAAGCTCCAAGGTGCACCTTCATGTTAGCAGTGATAGTGATAAAAACAATCAGGTAAGACTTTATAAAATTTTGGTTAATCTTTGTGTAGAATAGATTATGCAAAGGCTGCCTGATATAATAAAGTTGTATTTTCCACTGGCTAAGGAATGAAAAAAAAATMTGGAAAATGTTTCTCTCACATCATGGGAGCCTGGGCTGAGAGGCCTTAATCATGTGGGCAGGGTTTTAGTTCAGTTGCTTTTTCGCTGTCCGCCATCGACTAGTCTGTTGGCGGTAGTCAGCTAGATAATAAGCTCGCAGTGGTGWGTAAGAAGAAACTTTAAGGCTGAATGATGTGTGTTCCTAAACAACTTTTCCAAGTATTTCAGTATTTCATTGTAMTTTCATCATCTTCTTCTTCTTAAGGGTTCCAAGGTTTCTTGTGAATTGATTGCAAAACATAAMAGTGGAAGCTGTCAAAATCCAGGGAAGTACTTTCCTAATCCAACAAAAGATCAGAAATATTATATTGAAATTAAGAGTGAAAAGCCATTGGGTCTAAAAAGTTTGACATCACGAACATCGTGGAATATCTCTAATTTTATTMAGGTGTGTCAAGATGGTTTACCTAAAATAAAAATTGTAGGCAACTACAGAGATCAAAAACTTCCAGAGCAATGTGACAGATAAAAATCCGTAAAGTGTAGCAACATACCATTATACTTCAACCATGGAGAAGTTGGGCAACTWCAATCATTGCCAAAATGCTTGGATTATTTCAGTGAATTTYCTCATTYTAAGCAACACTAACAGACAATCCTGTCAACCGCACCACACCCCCTTCAAATGCWATGTTGTCATCAGGCATGTTACTATAGTACAAAACTATCCAAAATAAGATCCAGTGTTGATGAAAGGGAGCTAGGGCTAAAATTGTAAAAAGGTGAAGTAGGAGAAAAATATTAGGCTGAAGACAAGTAATTCTATGGTCCAAGGTATTTTGGCAATGATTATAGCAACCTCTCACCCACCTTTTTCCCCTCTCCCCTCATAAGTATTCTTCCCCCCTTCCTCCCCTCCCCCTCTGCCATTAACCAAGTGCATAATATTTACATACCATCATGGTTATGAGTGATTGTTTTAACATTGCATTTCTTTACCAGCTCCTAGATRCCCAATATCTGGAGCCATTTTCTTCTGGTGGCAGTGAATGCTCTTCAAAAGACAGCTGTATGGCATGCATGACTGATGCCAGTTGTGGTTGGTGTGARATAACTGGACAATGTCTATCAAGAAAATCATCGAACTCATGTAATCATGGCGGCCATAGTCAATACTTAGTACTAAATGCCACTCAGTGCACRCAATGTGATGATCTCAAAGACTGCATTTCTTGTTCACAGGTACTTCATACTTTTGTGTGTTTGTTTTGAAAAGACAGTGGTTGTTGGTGATGCTAAGTTTTTGTTGTTTGTTTATAATCAATAGCACAAGTATTGTGTTTGGGTAACCAAATTCTATCGTTGTCGCCGAAAAGGTATTTCATATAATAGTCCAGTTGTGAGCAAACCAGAGTCTTGCAGTTTGCAATGTGAAAGGTGAGACATTTACAAATAATAATATGATGGGTGATAGCTCACCATTCCCCTCTACTAACTATGCCATAACGAATCAAAAAATGACTTGAGATCCTATCATACATTGTACTTCAAATTTGCAGCATCTTAAAGATTTTTTTTGTGTGTGCTATGATGTGCTACATTCCTTTGGATATTGCAGTATAAACATTTACTGTTTGCACACTAACAATAATCATTATGTTCTCTGATTAATAGTTCAAATCATACCATAAAACGCCCTCTTTCATGAAGGTTGTTCTCTTTGATACAGGAGAGAGAGTTGTTCTACTTGTGTKGCTGATGGATATGAATGTGCATGGTGTGAAAGTACATCTTCTTGTTTTGTGTTTGGTTCATACATCATGCAGTTCCCTTATGGACAATGTACTCGCTGGGTCAATGGGTAAGTATGAAAACAATAAGCGTAACAATTAATTGAGAATCCACAAATTTCTCCATTGG